GAAAAGGGAATTCTTTATTTTGTGGAGTAAATGAGATGAGGTATCAGCTGAGCAGTGGAAAGAATTGGCGAAATACCCATTAGCGCGTGTGTGTGTGTGTGTGTGTGTGTGTGTGTGTGTGTGTGTGTGTGTGTGTGTACTGCCAGCTTTATTCGCTTCAAGTTTTTAATATTTTTAGATAAGCAGGTTGAGTAGTATGTTTTTGTTTTCCTCATTTCCATCATTCCCTTTTGAACTTTCCCACCTTCCTCCGACTATTGTTTGTGACTTAACGTTATTAGTTTAGTTTTCTGCTGATCTTTCTTAAGTAATTTCTCCATCTCTTATGTTTACCTTGCAGAAAAAACGCTGCAAGGCAAAGTCTTTGGACAAAGTTGAGACTCTGAAGGCATTCGATCCTTCTGCTCTCCTCACTAACGGGGATCCCAAGTTTAACAGCTTCCACCCGTGTCTCCCTGCGCCACCATCCTCAACACGCCCCCTACCTCTTCCTCCTCCTCCACCTCCTCCTCCCTTGCCTCCTCCCCCTTCAACACCACAGGAGGGCCCGTTATTGCCCCGTCGCGCCTCTAAGGAGTTCCCCTCAGAGACTAGCAGCTGCAGCTCGTCCACCCATTCTGAGGAGTCGTACGCCAGCCGGCTCCCCCCTCCTTCTCCCGTCTTCCCCGCTGATGGCGTGTGCAACGGCCACGGCCTTTCTTTCCCCCTCAGCCAGCCGGTTGCTAAGTCCCGTCAGGAGAAGCGCTCAACGAAGCGGCGGAAGTCTCGCCAGACCGAGCTGCAGTTCCCGCACATGCCAGTGGGGAGCATTGGTTCTCTGCCCAGCCTGCAGCAGCTTATGAAGGGAAACAAGGAGATGAGTGTCGGGACCATCGGGGTGACAGCCGTCACCGGACATGTCTGAATCCTCACGCGTCACCTTTACACGATTATCTGCTCACACCTGTGCACACACTACACGGTAGCAGACATGACAGACAGAAGAGGTCTTACCACAACCCAAAGAACCACATTTCCCATGAGCACCCAGGCGCACCGTGGAACTGAATTGGCTATGGCAGCAGTAGCTCAACATCATTCAGTTCTTATTCACTCCTGTCAAAGACCCGTTTACGGTTATGTGCCTTTATATCTGTTCTAGACCTTCTAACTCTTAAAAACGTGAAATGTAAACAGTTGTTGATGTGCACAAAAAGACACTGTGATAGGAAGTGAAACACCAAGAAGAGTCAAAACTATTGAAGTGTGTTTGAGAGATTTTATTTTATTTTCATTTTTCTACTGGATAAGCACATTTACCCATGAAAGTGGAGCACCAGTGAATTCATTTCCCCACTCTGAGCACAGTGAGGAGAGGTGCTGGTCTCAACTCCGTGTTCCTTGAAAAGTATTAGGCTGCTCTTTGGGATGAAATATGTCATTATAAGAGGACTGTGGAGCATGACAAATGACTTCTCTTATTCTTATTTCCTCCTGTCTTTCATTGCCATCATTTAACCTTTTCCATCCTGCCTTTGTCTCTAAATGACTGCAGGTGTTTGTTTGGGACCAGTGGGTAAAACCGTCTCATTCTCGCCTTCTGTCTCTGTCAGTTTGTTCCAAACCAACCACGAGAGCTGAATGAAGAAAAGTCTACATGAGCGTATATTAGCCCTTTTCTTTTCTTTTTTTTTTTAAGTGTCTCAATTAACTTCATAAAACAAATACAGTAGCAGCAGTCCAGCTCCTGTAGACCCTGCTCAGTTTGGGCTGGGCCCAAAAATGCTGTCACATTAGATTTTGTAACTGTGATAAAACAGCTCAGAGGCAAGAAGCTGTAATATATTGTTTCATTACTTTTATAGTTCTTTCATTTGTAACTGAGCCATGTTTCTCTTAGCATTGCTGGTTCGGCTTGTTTGAGTTGCTTTCAGAGCCAGTATGGGGCAAAGTGTTTCCTGTTAAGGGCACAGTTTACTGTAGGGTAACAGAGCTGAATGTTTACGCACACCCTTTCGTGGACCTTGCAGATGGGTCTGACAGATCAGCTTTATTTATCTATTTATTTATTTAAATGAACAGAGAATTTTCTAACCTAGTCGCTGGTTTGCCAGTCTCCCAGTCTTGCAGCGTCACAGTGGCTCAATGCAAGTTTGTTACATAGAATTACTACTCAGTGGTACTGACACATACAGTCATGGTGGATGGCTCAAACACATTTGCTTTCTTTCGTTTTCTTACCTTATAACGTCGTCTAATTGTACTTGGCTCAGCCTGAAATATCGGACAGTAATCGCATTTTATATCCAACAAAATAACAGTTAAAGGCTACATGTATGTTGGGAACACGCTGCTGCTTCTGTGTGTTTTCAGAGCTGCTGGAAAGTTGGAGATGCTTTTATTAAAGAAAAAAGAGAGAGGCTATAACAATGACTGTAGTACTGTGCTGTCTTCTGTCTGCCTTTTCAGCATCTCTGCTGGATTGGCTAACTGTTTTTATGTTACCCTGGCTGTTTTGTTAATGTATATTCAATATAACAATTCAGCAAAAACACTGCAGGAAGTTGCAGATTTATTTTTGTTTGCTTTTAAAGAATAAATTTAACAGGGGTTTTTTATTCCCCCTTCTATTTATGCAATTTCATAGAGGTTCTGCATGGTTGGCGTTGGACGTCTTGACAGACAGAATTTTCTTCTAATGCTACCATCCCATATGAGTGTCATTACCTGTTCTGACCAGCTTCTACTGCTCTTCTTTCCTTACATATCTTTATCCAGAAATGTCACCTCTGACCCCCTGTGCACGACTTCTGTCTGTGACTGTGAAGAAAACTTTAAATATGCCTGCTTTGATTACTACCATGTTCCTATTGGCTTCAAATGCTTTTTCATTCTGCTTGCCTGCTTTCCTGTCTAGCTTTTTTTTTCTTTTTCTTTTTTTTCTTGTGCATTCTTACTGTGGTCGTACACTCCTTTTAAGTCTTTTTTTTTTTTTTTTTTTTGTTGCTTGTCATCGCTCTTTGATGTCACGTGTTTGCCCCACATCGAATGACAGCGGTCGTTTGTGAGGAAGAAATGAATTGTTGCTGAATAAAAGGGAACGCAGTAAAGATTAATCCAATTCGGAACACTATTAATGTGGTTACTTATATTCCAAGAGCCGAGCAAATCCAGAGGGTGGTTTGTTTGTTTTTTGGTTTTTTTTTTTAAATCCCTGTTTGAATGTGTAATATGTTTGTGTGTAAACCTGTACGCATGCGAGATTTTTTTTTCTTGTCTCGTGTGTGCGTGTGTGTGTGTGTGTGTGTTATGAAAAAGACTACTTTAAATCGATTTAAACACATAAAACACAGCAAACAACAAGAAAGCACTTGGAGAGAAATTCTAAATGCTCAGTGTGCACTTTGTATGACTCCTTATGCCTTTTTGTTTTTCTACCCTTTATGTCAAGTGCTACCTTCTCTCTATCCCTCTCTCTCGCCCTCTCTTTGTCTCTGTGAGTACTCTGAAGAGCTGCACAGTATTTTTGAGCAGGAGTGAGTTACTACAAAAAACTGTAGTGCCATTAGAAACTGTGAATTCTTTCTAAATAAAATGTTTTTGTTTCTGTTTGTCTTTCAGTTGGAGTTGTTTCATGTCATATTTTAGCAAAATTGCTATTTCACTTCTGTTGTCCCTAGGCAGGAAACGTTTAATAAAGAAAAGTAGTGATAGCAGTATACAGATTTGGGTATACACATACTTCATTCATAGAATCCCATCCTCAGAGTCTCAAAAGTAATTAGAAAGTTGGCTTAAAAAGAAATTAATAGCCATGTGACACCTGTTGTTTTGTTCTTTTATGATGAAATGAGTATCAGGAGCGACCACATCAATGATCTGGTGCGTTCTTAAAAAGAATGAATACGCTGTCCAGCTTAGCACCACCAAGGAAAAACCCTTCACAATATCTAACCAAATCAATAACACCCTCAGAGAGAATGGCATATCCCCAAAATCTACAGTTAAAAGATGCTTTCATAAATGCAAATACAAAGGTTTTATAAAAAGGTGTAAACCACTGGTTACAGAGCAAAATGTGGCGAAGGTAAGGAACGCCACATGACACAAAGGATACTGCATTATCTGTCAAACATGGTGGGGGCAATGCTGTGTCATGGGTGTGTATACCTGCCACAGTAAATGGATCATTAGTTTATTGATGTGACTGCTGACAAATAAAAGGTGGTTGTGGTAAAAGTCTAGCGGAGTATCTCAAGGGAAGGGAAACAGAATTCGGTCATATCAAAATGCTGTAGATATCATCAAATGTGGATATGCTGTATCCGAAAGGATTCTCAACCTCTGGAAGACAGTGAATGTAAGTTTTAAAAGGAATCCGCATATTTAAAGCTGTTTGTTTCTTCAATGACTTTGAACCCTCCCCGGGCTTTTATGCCTACTCATTCCTATGAGTTTCTAGGGAATCACTATCCATCTTTATTATGTTGGGGGAAGAAATATATCAATAACATATAAAATATTACATATGTAACAGCAGTATATGTTTAAATTTGATGAATTAGAAGTGTAATACAACTGAACATTAAAGTGCGCATCTTATGCTCATCATTATTTATTTGCTTATTTATCTTGCGGTGGGCATCACAATGATTTGCGGTCTAAAATGAACCATTTTTACCTCTTCTCACTGCAGGGACAGCTTCCCTTTAAGGCTGACTTGCTGCCGCTATTAAACAGAAGGTTTAAGGGTGGGTAGTTGGGGCTGTTGTGCTCATGATATCCTCTAATATGTCTCTGACATCATATAGATCCAAGAGAAAAATAAGAGCAATTAGAGAACTCTGAAGCCTGAACTTAAGGATAGCAACGTTTTTTGTTTTTGTTTTTAATAAGCGTCCAATATAAAAAAGCATAATAAACCCACTTTAAGGTGAATTCAAACCAGAAGGTGGCAGTAAAGCAACTTTAAACATATTAAACGACATCCAGCCACAAGGTGTCGCTGTGAGTCACACTGGCCTCTGTTCTCCTCCAGTGCGCGTTCTCTGTTTTCTCTCTGCTGTTTACGTTTATCGAGTAACATGGAGGACGAGGTCGATGTTGACATCGAAGGAGATGACTTTGATAACAATATTGGGTAATGACGCCTGTTTATTTGGATTAATTGATGGCTGTGCTGTTTGGTGGGCTTCTGTGCTGTGGTCTACGCGAGTTAGCGGTGACCCGGATGTTGGCGCAGGATAACAGCAGCTGGGATTAGCTCTGGAGGCGTCTGCTCTGCTGATCACAGCTTCTTTCCTCGCTGTTTTAGGGAGATGGACGGAGGAGGTTTGGTGCAGGAGCAGTTCATGCAGCCTACAGGGAAGAGCAGCGCCTGGATACTGGTATGACTTCGTCAAGCTCCGTTGTTTTTCTGGCTGTGGGTGCTCGTGTTGACTCTCCGTCTCTCCTTTGTACAGCCCTGGGAGCTGGACAGCTCCATCAGCCCGGAGAACAGAGAGGTGATAGAGAGGATGTTGCTAGAGGAACAGTATCCTTTTACTGACCTTAAACGCACTGCATAGTGATGCATTGAGGTTAACTACAGGAATCACAGGACGTAGCTGGGAAAGCTTCGGATTACCTAATAACTGCCCCATGCTGTGGCTAATGTAAACATACGGACAGATGACAAATTAAAAGAAAAAAATGTAACGCTTGACCTTACAGTAAATGGAATTATAGTGGGGGAATGTGTTATATTATTTTATGTTCACTTGTCCTGTTAGAGCAGGAGTAACCCAAAACATCTCAACATAGTTTCAACCAGTAGCTGAAGCTCCTTATATTGTGTTGATTACATAGTTTAAATACTAATTTTGTTGCTGGTTATGAAATCAGTTGTCCTCAACTATAATCGAAGATATTACCTGACAGGTAAGGAGATTCCCGACCACATTTGGCACAGTGATCCTCACAAAAAAAACAAAGTGAAAAAGTGAGTAATTTCTTCCATCAGCCTTGATGATGAGCGCAGTACACTGATTCCTCATTTCCTTGCTATTCATGAACTTGTCTGTGTGTGGACAGGTCTCCGGCCAAGAACATAGCTTCGTCTGCTGGTTCATCCTCTCGATGGTCCCAACAGGAGAAAGAACTGTTTGAGGAAGGCCTGGTATGCTTACACTGCAAGTTAACTTTTGTGGCTGAAATGTAATTTCTGTTTGGGAAGGTCAGCCTTTGATGGATTTAATAATTGTTTTAAGTGAGTCAGATTGTGTATATTGTCCAAGTTGCCGAGGTGTGTTGTTCTACAGGCTCGGTTTGGTCGAAGGTGGACTAAGATTGCTAAGCTTATGGAAAGCCGTACCGTTCTTCAGGTTAAGAGTTACGCCAGGCAGTATTTTAAACATAAGGTAAGACAGTCCACCTGGATTATACTAACAGCACAAGACAGGTTTCTGTTATGTAAGCTTAGTTGTAGTCATCTGCAGATATAAACCTGCAATTTAGTCAAGCTACATACGCTTTATGCAACCAGAAGGAGTCCTTAGCAATGGTATGTTGGAAAATAAAAATCAAGATTAAACAAACTTTTGTGTACACATTTTTCAGGCAAAATCAGATCCTGGTCCTGCGGCTCCCTCTGTAGCTCCCATAATACACCTACAACCTCCTCAGCCCACCTCCAGTCAAGTGTCTACTCTTGCCAACGCTGTCCGCATAGAGAAGCTTTCTGACGATGAGGATGAGGATGTAGACATCACTGACGACTTGAGTGATGACGAAGAAGGCAATAAACCACAGGCAGTCCTCAGCAGTGATTTCTGTGGGCCTGAGGAGAAAACAGATTCTGGGAGTCAAAGCTCCACAGAAGAACATGTAAGTCTGAGTGGGGTAGAGAGCATCCATGAGACGAAGGAGAAACCGAGCCACAACTCTCTTTCTCCGCAAAGTCTTCAGCCCTCATCTTTCCCTGGTTGCTCAGAAGATCCTGGAGTAACAGAGCGAGATGAGAAGGTCAACAAGACAGCATCGGTATTTCCACAAAGCTGTCAGACACCGCCTCACGCAGACTCAAAGCAGATGTTCTCAGCAGGCATTGCTCAACTGGAAGAAGCTTACAGTGATGGAATGGGTACTTCACACTTACTGTGCTTTGTGTATTTACCTCACTGTCATAGGAAAAATTAATGACACACATTATGATGTCCTAGATTCTTCAGACAAGATTGAGAAAAATCTAAATGATAGACCATACAATGACCAGGAGGAGGAGGAGAATGAAGATGATGAAGAGGAGGAGCTGAAGGCCCCCGAACAAGAAATAGAGATGGACACAGAGACCATCACCGAGGATGAGAAGCAGGCTATCCCAGAGTTCTTTGAGGGGCGACCATCAAAAACCCCTGAAAGATATCTGAAGATTAGAAACTATATCCTGGATCAATGGTAAACTAAGTTTACATGTTCGATAACTTTGTTTACACAACTTTGCACAGAAAGTGGTTATTACTGTTTTTGTCCACTAGGCTGAAGAGCAAGCCCAAGTACCTAAACAAGACATCGGTCCGCCCTGGTCTAAAGAACTGTGGAGATGTCAACTGCATTGGGAGAATACACACCTATCTGGAACTCATTGGAGCAATCAACTTCAACTGCGGTAAGTCTGTGTCTCTGAGTCTTCTGATTTATGAATTTTTATCTTCTTTTTGATGTTAAAGCTCTGACTTCCTTTTTGTAGAGCAAGCTGTGTACAATCGTCCAAAGGTGATGGACCGCTCCAAGCATAAGGAAGGCAAAGATGTACTGGAGGCCTATCAGCTCGCCCAGAGGCTGCAGAGCATGGTCGGTACCCATAAAGCAATAGACTCTGACACTGGAAGCATTTAAATTTTAAGCATGCCAGAACTTGACTTGTAACTTCTGACTGGTTGTAGCGAACCAGGAAGCGGCGTGTGCGGGACATTTGGGGGAACTGGTGTGATGCTAAAGACTTGGAGGGACAGACATATGAGGTATGGACACTGCACAACAACTTTTAATCAAATTACGATTTACATTCTTACTAATATGTTTACTGATTCTGTGTTTTTTCTTTATCAGCATCTAAGTGCAGAAGAATTAGCTCTGCGGAGAGAGGAGATGAAGAAGCAGCCTAAACCTTACAAGATGTCCAGATACCGAGGGTGAGCACAGTGGACTGATGCAAAATGTACCAAATTATAAGCACAAGGAGGTTTATGATGTGGATGTTTATAATCCCACTCTATCCACCAGCTCTTTTGACCCCTTCCAGCTGATTCCCTGCAGATATTTTGAAGAGGATATAAAGGTCAGTGATCATTCTTATCAAGATTTTTCACCGATACACTGATTAACCACACCACTTAAAAAAAAAAAAAAAAACCCGGAAAAATCATGGATGTGTCTCTAATTGGCGTGGCCTCTATTGATCAGGCTTGTTCTGTTGCATCTTCCAGATACAGAATGGATACTAGACTATTTGTTTCTTGAGAAATTCTTCAGGAGATTTTTCAGTGTAATTAGTCCAGCTGGGGTAGACTAATGAGGGAGAGCCATTTTCATGGGGATGGGGAATGCTTAATCTGCAGTTAATGGGTGGTACATGTCAAAATTACATCCACATGAATACCACCACAGGACTTCTAATGGTGCCTTTGCTCCAATTGAAAGCACACATCCCAGGTTAGGTGGGCAAAGCTAAATTCAGTGTGATGTCAGTGTGTCTGTTGTTGGCCCTGTGAGGGACTGGCAGACTCTCCAGGGTGCTCATTGCCCTATGTCAGCTGTAATATACTTCAGCCCAGCCTATGTTGGATAAGGAGTAAGTGACTGGATTATTAGATATACCTTATATCTAATAAGATTATATTTTCTTCATTTTTTGTTGCATAAACTAAGAGGATCCTTTCTCCAAAGTAGTCATCAATTATTCTAAGCTGTTCTTTACTGATCACCCTAGGAACCATTCCAGGTTATAGTCTGTGCTGAGACTCTTCTCATCATGGATATGGTATGTTATACACACAGTCACAAGCTGATTAGTTTTTTTCATATATGTACAACAGATTTTACCTATATTGACAGATAACTTTTCTGTAATCAGCATGCACATGTGTCAAGGGGGGAAGTCATTGGTCTGCTAGGTGGAACTTTTAATGAAGAAGCAAAAGTATTGAAGGTAGGTCAAGAAGTCTGAACCAATGTGACAAACAGGATAAAACTCTAATCACATTATATTCAGAAAACTATATTTTGTGATTAATAAATCTGTGTTTAGATCTGTGCAGCAGAGCCATGTAACAGTGTGAGCACAGGTCTGCAGTGTGAGATGGATCCAGTGTCTCAGACACAGGCCTGTGATGTGCTGTCATCCCTGGGATTCAGTGTAGTGGGCTGGTACCACTCGCATCCCTCCTTCCACCCTAACCCTTCATTGCGAGACATAAACACGCAGCACCAATTCCAGGTAAAACTGACTGAATGAAATAAGTTTGCACATGAGTTACTTGTGAACTTCTGGTTTTATTTTCACTTCTGGTATTATTATTTATTTATTTTTAATCTTTCAGAGTTATTTTTCACGTGGTGGAGCCCCGTTTATTGGGATGATAGTGAGCCCATATGACCCAGCTAATGCCTCCCCCCACTCCCAGACTACCTGCCTATTGGTAAAAGAGAACCAGGAGCCTTCAGGCCCCCAGAGTAAGTCTAACACACACACACACACACACACACACACACACACACACACACACACACACACACACACACACACACACACACACACACACGACTCAAACTTCAAAACAGTTAAGATCAAGAGGCTTTGAAATCAAGCTGACAATGTAGGTCAGTGATTTTGTGTACGCAGTAACACACTTTATCCTCTGGCTCAGTCTCTCAGCCTCTGTTCCTCCCCAGAGCTGCCGTACAGATTCGACTTCCTGTCATCACAAGACATCCCCGACTGGGAGCAGACGATGAGGAGGGCTCAGTGGATCATCCACAAATATTCTCAAGCACCAGGGTGAGTGAGACACAAGACTGTATTGTCTAATCTTGAACTGGTGCCCTAAAGCTGATCCTAAATTTTATTGAAATTGTTTTGGGTGGTGTGTCTAAGCATTTTATTTTTCATTTTTGCCGTGGCTGGTCAGGAGTGTGCAGATGGACAGACTATTTCGGAGAGACTCCCATCTCACATGTTTGGAGAAGGTCAGTTCGACCATCGGTCCTCCCAGTTTGCAAATTTCAGTGACTCTATGGAGTGACTTTGAGCTGCTTTTACAGTTTTAATGTGTGCCTAACTACACGACCTTCATCATGTAGATGCTGGCATCACTGGCGAGATACTTGGAACCCCTCCCAGATGAGGTGGGAGACTCCTTTCTCACCCAGATCCAGGCCCTTTTCAAATCTGACTTTATTTCCAAGCAGCAGTTGCCTGATTCTGAAGAAGGAGAACCTTTAAATATCTCATCCAAGCTGGTGGACTCGGGCGAACTAACTTTTGATCAGCCGATCAGCCCAGAGGAAGAGAAGGAACAAGAAGAATCTGAGACTACTGGCAGCACCGTGTTGCATTTAGGCTCTGTATTGTCGACCGAACATGACTATTTACTGTGAATAACCATACAGCAGCATACTTAATAGTGAATGACACCTTTTGTGAATACATTGTGGCATTCATTACTGGGTGTGTGTGAGATAGTTTTTGTCAGTAAAGTTATCATGAACGTTTTTTCTCAGTTTAACAGATTTCTTTTTGACATCAAAATAAAAATCTATTTTTATATTTCAGGTCTTTTTATGAATGTTCAGTGCAACACATGAATATATATTTTAATGATTTATGTTTAAAGTTTTGTCATTTACTCCTCACTAAGGTTTACTGTCCAAGGGGACAGCACTATGTTTTTAGAACATGTGGTGGCCAAGACATTCAAAGGGGCTCTTGATAAATCAGATAATCAGACATGCAGTAGTACGGTTAGGTTAACTGGTGATTCTAAACTAGCTGTATGTGTATGATGGACTGTCCAGGGTGTACACTGGCTCTCATGCTATGGCAGCTGGGATAGGATGTAGCCCCCACCTGTGACTCTAAGTTGGATTAGCAGAAGAAAATGGATGGATAGTTACACTAAAGTGTAAAAATACCCTTAAGTGAAAAACCCGCATTCCAGTTCCCATTTATGTTAAAATTAGGATCAAAATAAACTGAAAATACCAAAAGTGAAAGTGCTCATGATGCCAAAGTAATGAAGCAATCAAACATTGATTGATCATTGATCAATCAGTGGTTTATTTCACTTTAATGTTGAAGCCGGAGCTAATGTTAAAAATACTTTATATACACAACTGGTTAACATAATCAGCGGTTTTCACACACTTGTGTTCATGTCTGAAGTTTGACAGTTATTGAGATTGGTAGTTATGGCATTAATCTGGCACACGATTTGGGAACCTCTACAATAAAATAGGATAATTTATTAGTTGATGTGTGTTATTTTAACTGCAAAAAAAGTTAAATAGTAAAACATGAAAATAAATGTGCTTGAGTACAAAGTAGAATATTTGCCTCCAAACTATGGTGGATTAAAAGCAGTAGCCTGGGTATGATTAAAAAAAAAAAAAAGACACACACTTAACATGTAAATATATTCAGTTAACTTCCAGCTCTATAATATAACGCTTAGCTCGTTTATAATATAACTTTGAGCTGTGTGTGCGGAACGTTCGTAACGGGGCTGTTTCTAGGTGGAATCATTTGGGAGGAGCGCGCGTTCCAGAAACTACAGTTAACGCTAGTTTGTAATTTTAAAGCGCGTCCTTTTGGCTCACCGGGCATTAATGTGTTTCAGCTCAGCGTGTAATGGTGTTAAAAACCAACTTTTGGACTGGTGAAGGCATTTCAGAGTTCCGCGGCTCCCCCCAATAACCAAATTTACGTGTACGTAAATTTCACTTCTAGCGATGACATTGACAGCTGAGAGCAGCTCCCCAGGTGTCACTACCGGATTTATTTTGACCTTTAGGATGAGATAACCGCATTGCGTTGACTGTTTTTGGTCAGTCCTCGTATAAATTAAAAAAATTTGTATCATTAAAAAATCAAATTAAATTAAAACATGGCTCTACTTTGCGGAAGTCTTTTCAGGAGCTGTCACTTCAGTTTGCTTTCGTCGCATCTTATCGGGAACCTCCGGGTATGCACACGAGCTGTTTACCCTCAGAGCAGTCGGCGAAATACCATAAGCACATCTGTACGCTTGAGAGCTTCTTTGACTGGACGGACAACGAGTTATCAGATTTACTCCAAAGCCACTGCTCCTCTTCCCTGTGGTCCTGTCCTGACCCCATGTGGACACTACTTCCACACTTCTGCCCGCCTGAGGGCCCTGCCTGCTCCCCTCATTTGGATGATAATCAAACCTCTGCAAAAGATTATGGCTATAATACTGGGCAGGTAGGAAACACATGGTGTTTGCAGGAAGGTCTACAAGCTTTTGGATAGACACAGTTTTTGTAGTTTGTGCTTTGAACACCACCACAGTGAATTGTAAAAATTTAGGAGTTCAAATGCAGTCTTTGAGCTTTTATTTAAGGGGTTTCAGAAAAGAATTGCAATAAATATTTAGAAATTACAGGCATTTTTATACATGGCCCCCTCTTCTGAATAATAATTTTACACAGTATCAATTATTTTGTTATGTAGCTCCTTGTCCAATTTGGGGACAAGGAGGCAGGCCAATACACCACAGACTTTTTCATCACCAAGTAATCTCCAATGAACCTTACCCCACTAACTGCATGTCTTTAGACTGGGGTTAGGAGCTGGAGTACAGAGAGAAAGACCCAAGTCATATGGTGGATTCAAACCCAGGAGCTTCTTGCTGTAAGGCACTAGTGCTAACCACTGTGCTACCATGCTGGCTGATTGTGATGCTCCTTGGCTGTAGTCTCCGATAAAAGGCTGGCAGAATATTGTGAATCCAATGAAGCTTGGATGAAAATCCTTCTTTGGCTGAGAGTATAGCCCTCTAGACCCCAGACTTGCTAGTTCTGTCTGTGGCCACATCATCAGTAAACTCTAATTAGTAATTTTTTGGCAGCTATACCTACCGTGCCATAACATAGCCTCCACGATGTTTGACAGATCTCTGTAACCAGTGGTCTACACCTTTTTGAAAATCTGCTGTATTTCCACTTTTGAATGCATCTTTTAATTTTACACTTTAATGTTGTCTACCTATTTTTGTGCTTCTGACAGTAATGAACTTGGATAAAATTGGCTGTAAACAGCTAATGGAAGACTTTTGTTAAACAACTTGAATTAAAGTTGAAAGTTTGCACTTCAAACATAACTTAATCTTTTAAATAATATTAAGTAAAGTGTGGTGGTGTACAGGGGCAAAATCACAACCAATGTGTCCGCCCCTAAAAAGTATAGACTGAAGTGGTTAATCAGTATAAATACGACACTATAGTCTATAATGGTCTACAAATTCAAATAGATGTAACATTTTAAATTTGGAATGTAAATAAAAAGCAATAATTTAATAAGGTGTGTCAATAGAAAAGCTCTTAATACAGATGATAAATTGAGCATCCTTTTTGCTTTAAGGCATAATATCATTTAACAACACTTAATGTTTAATTAAATAATGAACACGCTCCTAATTGTTTTATCAACTGTTTTAATTATTGGATTTAAATAAGAACAAATAAATGACTGTCTAAATTGTTTCCATGCTTTATGTTTTAATTAACTGGTACAAAGTAATCCATGAAACCGAGTGACTGTGATGGTATCATTTAGCAGACATAGCAGACATTAGTTTGTCTCCCCCTCCCTGCCTCCAACAGAATAGAGAGCAGGCATTTTTTTTGGCCTTTGAGCAGTACTACAAAATTTACCTGCCAAATTTATGCACGTTTTGGCACTTTATTTGAGGTTAGGCTTCTCTGGAAAGAAAAGAGGTTATTGTTCTGCATTATTATCTTACATTATTGTGGGAAACTTTGGTTGCTAATCTTTCATCAGGCTTTTTCTCCGAGCATTTTTTTTAAAACATGCTTCAGATAATTAATTTAGTTCTAATTGTTGGAATAAGGTGTTAAATGTACTGCCTGAGCTACATAAGGATTTACAGCAGCACTAAAGCCCCTCTTTTTGTACAGGAGCATAAGGAAGTGGTGGGTGGCCTTACCAGACAAACGGCAGCAGCTGGTACGCAAATATGCATGGCAGAAGCGCTGGCAAATAGCAGGGGGTGCAGGTGTTGCTATTATGATTGTAGCCCTCTTCCTCCTAACGCACCTTGACGAGTCCCCTCTGACAGGACGGACCCGCCTTCTTGTGTTCAGTAAAGAGAACTACATGGAGATGGCAGCTCTGACTTCAGATGCGGTGAGAGACGTTGTGTTGCATGTGACATTGTGAGAAAATCACAAATATCCATTCCACAAACATTTCTAAGAAGATTTATTGAGTCAACAAGTAAGAAGGTGAATAGTTAAATGGAAAAAATGTCATTTTTAATGAAATTCTTCCTTAAATATTTGTTGTCATCTCTGTGTTTCAGTACATGGAGGAGTATGCAGAGCTGCTTGTTCCAGTCACTGACCCTCGTCACCAGGTGGTGAAGTGGGTGGTGCAGCACCTGGCACAAAGGAACAAGGACATCCCTGAAGTGAATGACATCAGCTGGACTGTCCATGTGGTGCAAAGTCCCAGCGTTAATGCCTTTGTACTACCGGTAAGTAAAGACAAGCTGAACACTAAAAATGTTACTATTATAAGGTGCAATCTAGTGTTTACACACCTACAAAGATTAAAAAGTTATTTCCCATTCTTTGAGTAGAATGGAAATGTCTTCATGTTTACTGGAATGCTGGAAGCCATTGCAGATGTTCACCAGCTCACTATTATACTGGGACACGAGATGGCTCATGCCTTACTGGGACACGCTGTAAGTACATAACCCTCCACAGACTGTTTGCTGTTATAGCATAGTTTGTACTCCACATCATAAATTTACCTTAAGACTTGACCTTGAGAGTGAATAGGTTTATTTTTTACAATTAATACAGGGTGTCTCTGGATCATTAAAAAGTCTTAAACTCTGAAATTGAATTCAAGAAAAATAAGACCTTAAAATATTTCATATTTCCCCAATATCTGCTGATGGTATTAACTTTGGAAATGGTTTGTTTAAGCCTGGTATGTGTGGGAAAGAATATAATGTGAAGTACTGGGTTGTATGGATTGTTGCATTGTTGAAAATGGCTTGTGTATAAAAGCCTAAAAATAGTGCATAATTTTTACATTATTGGATCTTAATTCTTATTTCTTGAAGTTCTAAATGGACCTTAAAAAGCATTTATTTTGATTGTTAAAATGATGTTGAAACTATTTATTATAAGTGGAGTTATACAATAGGCAAAGAATTACGCCTGCCACTGGTATTATTAACAGAAACAAATTCCTTGATTGTATGTTTTCTCTCATGCATTGAGTGCACACTCTTCCGTAACAGACAAGCACTCAGTTGAATGCAGCAAACCTCACACCTGTTTAGCTTCTGAGGCTGAAGTGCTGCAGTGCACAAAGACCTGTGCAGTATGCTGACATCTAATAGGCTTAGCTGATCAGCAGCAGATGTTGCAGTGAATGAGTCACTGAAAACACTTAAAGTGCAAATATTGCTCAAGAACAAACTTTAGTCATTTATTAGCCCTTGGCACAGTCTTGGAGGTTCCACACAGCACTGTAAAATATGCATGTGGACCCCCTACAGGTGCAGAATATACTGCATTATACACTGAGATCTCCTGACTATTCATCACTTCTGCTCTGTCTCGGAAGTATCATATCAGCTGAAGTGGCATCTGTTGCAGTCTTGTTGCATCAGCCGTTGATAAAAGACTCGGTGACAATCACATCCAAACAGTCACTAATCCTGCCGGTGCTGTGATGACCAAAGTGACCTCAGGCACTGCTGTGCTTTATTAATTCTCCACAGATGGCTGTCTTTTTTTCTCTCTCCAGCTTTAAAGCCCATTCTTCTTGTTCTAAAAAAGTGTCTAATGAAGTTGTGGGTATTTCAAGACTTTAAACGTCCTCAGAGGAAATGCTTGAAGGAGATTTTAATTAGATGAAGGGAATGAGCATCGATGGGCTTGGTATTACCCAGTAGGTGTGCTCTATTGGATTGGCTGTTAAAACCTCTAAATCTGTTACAGCGTAAATGTTCCACTAAAATAGATGGGAACAATCAATATGTTTCAGCAGCCTCAATCACCTCCCCAAAACTTTTTACCTCTATTTTTCTGTTCTTATATTTTTCTCTTTTATCCTCCTTCCTTCCTTTTCTTTTCCTTCCCTCACTGCCTCCACAGGCAGAACAGGCCAGTATGTCTCATGTCCTGGAGCTCCTGTCTGTTGTTCTCCTGATAGCCATCTGGGCCATGTGTCCTCACGACAGCCTGTCAATGCTGGGACACTGGGTACAGGGCAAGCTTAGAGAGGTGAGGAATTAATATTCATTATCTGAAAATATATATGAAGTATTAAAGTTACAGCAGTTTAAAAAAATGACTGGAAGATAAAAATGTACAATAATCTTGTAGTTTTTACACACCTACACAGAAATCTGCTTTTTTCTTTTCTAGCTGCTGTTTCAACGCCCTTTCAGTCGGAAACTGGAGGCTGAGGCAGATCAAGTCGGATTGCAATTGGCTGCTAAGGTATCACTGTCACCAATTTGGTCACCATTTATCTGGCTCAAGCGGTGCCTTCTTTGGTGTTTTCACCTGTGTTTTTTCGTCGGTTGCATTCACTCCGATGATATTTTTAGGGTTAAAAACATGCAACCAGGCTAATGACTCGAGGAAAAGTGTTAAATCCAGCTTTTTGGAGCTTGAGATTGAAAGAAAAATTAAGGACTAATTTTAAAATGTTTTTACTCTTTATAAGCTGTTCTTTATTTTAACCTCATTCAGTTTCCTCTAATGCTCCCCAATCATACAATCTGTCCACAGGACACTAGGGGGCACTGTTGTCAAAGGAAACTAAAGTGAAGATTTTTATCTCGGCACAAAACAGTGGGATGCCACTTCTTGTGTGTGTTTCTGAGGTGTGTGTATTATTTACAGGCATGTGCCGATGTGCGAGCAGGACCTGTATTCTGGCAGCAGATGGAACTCAGAGACCAACTATCAGGAGAGCCCACCTTGCCTGAATGGCTGTCCACACACCCATCGCACAGGAACAGAGTAGCTCAGCTGGACCGTCTCATACCAGAGGTATAGACACACGCAGTATTTTTTCCTTAGATTGTTTCCCCCTAAACTGTTGTGTCGGTTCTTAGTCATATGTTTGTCCCAACTTTGAAGTGAAGAAATCTGTGAGGCCTGTGTGGGGACACAGCCCTACTCCTTTCTGTTTTTCAGGAGAAACAGTGTAGCTTTAGGAGCTGTTGGAAAGATTCTTAATGGAACTAATGAAGCGTCTGGAGAGATATAAATCCACCTGCAGACATGGAGAGGAGGGCAGAAAGGAAGGAGAAACGTGGGGTTTTAGGAAGACAGCAAAAACATTTTGCTGTGCCAGGGCCTGGATGTCTGCTTAGCTGAATGTCTTGAAGGATTTGAGTTGAGTGCCTGAAAGAAAACAGCCCCACATTAGCAGCTCAGTGTTGGCAGTGTGACCAGCCAATCAATGGTATCTTAAGTCTATAAGGAAATCAACAACCAGTTAAGACAGCAGTTTCAGTTGTGAGGACTGTCAGCATCCACAGTCCTCACAACTTTTTCTGTGCGTGTAAGTGTTAGCAGAAAGGTGGATTAATAATCTATGTATTAGACAGCAGTGAGGTTAACCTTGACTGTTATTTGGACTGTTGGAGCACTGTCAGATGCTCCAAGCACAAAGACGAACAGATGGGTAAACCACTAATTGTCCATCAGGTGCCTATGTCGTTGAATATGTGCATGTTCTGTGTATGTGCTCGTGCACCCGGTCGTATCCCTGTGAGGTAGATTGACCTCTAGCAGCAGTTGTTGTCGAGACCAGGCTGTAGCCACAGGCAGTGAAGTGATGAAGACTGTTGTTTGGGGATTAATTGCCCTGCTTTGTGTGTGTGGTGCTGAGAAGACTCGGTTTCTGGTACCTCCAATGCTTAACTGTTCGATCCAGCATAGCAGCATGAATGAGTCAGTTAACAGCCGAGCTCAGTCTAGTGAAAGCGATGCATAATGTGATGTTTTTAACCTTGCAAAGGGTGACAGCCTCAAACTACTTAACCCGACTCTTGTGGGGGCACTCCACCTCCACGAGCGCGCTGATCATCCTTAAGCACAGCACATCAAGTCCACTGGTAACATGAGAGGGAGAGCCTGTTGAGTGGGAAGCACACGTATGTGCTCAGTCTTGTAGGTGGTGCTAAGTGAGAGATTAATGACTTGGGATGTGCGTAGGTGTGTGAGACAGACGGAGAGAATATATTTATCGGCCGGGGTGTGATTGAAGTTTCCATTAGCTCCGTCACATACTGGAATATTTTTAACCATAACCATTTTAGCCAAGCTAGTTACATGGCTCTTTCATGCTAATGCTGGCCTACAATAGCTGCTTCCATGTCTTTTACTCAGAGACACTTTATAATTTTCTGTTTCTCTATAAAACCATAAAATGTATATAAAAGATGGACGTGGCTTCCAAGTCAGTGCAGAAGTGCATCAAAACTGCATTCTTTCAAATGGCCAGTAGTGGGCAGTACATCTGTTTGTGAAAAGAAGTCTATGAGGAAACGATGCTACTCCTCAGTAAACACTTTCCTCATGAGTTTTTGGTCTTAATTGCTAGTTTTAAGACTGATTTAGCATAGCACGAGGTTCGTTCAGTTAATTAAGATCCCATTAAGAGTAAAGTAGACATTAAAACAGGTATGCTTTAGGGCATAATTTAAAAGTCGCTCAAGTCAGATCCTCCACTTGTCAGATTTAGAAAAACTAAGACAAAACTTAAGTCCAAAGGAGGCTTTAAAAATGTGACTCTACTGTAGCGTTTGAGCTTTTGACAAGCAGGAGGGCACAAGACTGTTTGAAAGGTGTCAGATGGTAACTATAAATGTGACTTTGCATGAATTACGTTTAATGTGCCTGCACGTAAGCTAGCATTTTAGTTTGTACATAGAGTTTTCACCAGCCCTGGTTAATCTTGTTTTGTTTTGCTTAAAGTGTTTGTGTGTCTGTCCTTTTGCTTTACATCTGTTCAGGCTCTGGAGCTGAGGGAAAGATGCGTCTGTCCTGCTCTGCCTGCTACTGATCCTCGTGATGTTTTCTCCAAGAGCGTCCGTGTGTTGCTGAAAAACACCAGGGAGTGAAGGGCCAGAGAGGGGAGAAAAACCTGTGTTGACCCACAGCCCCACCTCAGTCCCCACAAGACTGCCTGCAGCATTCATTGCCCAAACTGCACTTCCTTCTTCCCCAGATGCAGATCATTTAAGCAAAGGCCCATCCCAGCTGCAATTCCAGAGAGAGTTATGGCAGCCCGTGCCACTGCTACTGCTGCAGAGGAGGGATCCCAGCACGTATTGCAGAGCACCAGCTGACAGGGGTGTTAAATCATCACCAACTTCCTTGAATAAACTTGACTGACTATAGTGGAGTATGAACTGCAGCTAGCAACCTTTCTCTTATTGTCTATTAAATTGAAAAGAATGCACCTGAGTGCGTAGGTGCTAAAAGGGTTAAATTCTCACCCACCATTGCAGAGACTGCAGATACCACCACAATCGAGGGTGGAGCTGGCGGTTGTTTTACAAAGGAAGTGACTGCGGGTCATTATATAAATCAGTAGAAAATTGAGGTAAAAGGCTGACGAAGATAAATCAAGAATGTTATCCATGCCTAATGACTACAAAGATACCACATTAATTAGATAACCTTGAATAGCAAAATACTGAATTAATTAGCTTCCATACATTGCCAGATTAATATGTGCATTATTCATTGACACACGGCAACAGACGAGAGTAAGCACTTACGTGTGCTTGTTGGAGGCAGCGTCCATGGCATCCAGAGGACATCTACATTCTCATTATGACTACTGCATTCTCATGCCACACGCACAGCACTTTATCTGTTTTCTAGCCCAGGGGACTTAATGGTGTAAATTTATGCTGGGTTGTTTGCGGGTTTTAAAACACAGCGCTCTGCACGGGAATGCCAATATCAGCCGTCAAGCTTTGAGAAATCTTTCATGGGATTTTGTAAAATCTTATTTAACAAGGCAAGTTGACTGAGAAAACATTCATATTTACAACAACAGCCTGCAGGAGAAGACATACTGTGAAGAGGGGAGGGCAGTTATGGTTCAAATCTTGGTAATGTTTTATGTGTGTGTGTGTGTGTGTGTGTGTGTGTGTGTGCGCGCGGAGACGAAATGGTACACTTGGTTACACTGTGAAATCAAAAATGATACTACTATGCTTTTTTTGGGTGGGGAGGTAAATTATTTCATTTGTGTCACGCTTTTTAGGCACCGAACCTGAACTAGCCTCCAAAAACAACAGTTGGGAGTCTTACACCTGCTGTGGAGGCTTTCTCTTACAGGGTAAAACACAGGGTAGGTCTATATTAGGGTTGGTTTCTCCTTTAGAGTAAGTGGTCAGTCCATAACAAGCCAATGAAAAGCACATATTGGTTTTTTCACATTCATAACTCAGCGGATATGTATTCTGTTTGCAGGTGACTAGCGAATAAAATTCAAACTTGGATATCTCTTCTTTTTTTCTCCTTTATTCTAAAATCTATAAATTGACATCGATCAAAGGGGCGCATACAGCTAAACAAACAGAAACGTAATATGGATGTGCGTAAAATTATCTGCCTGTGTGACATTACGTAAGGGAACATCAAACGCCTCGCATCGTCACACCAACCAATTAGATTCTGGGGTGAAAGATGAGTTTCTTTTGAAGTGTTCATATGTGCGTGTGGCAGCAGCGGTTTACTTATTGATGCTTGGCTCCTGGGGAATATCCTTGCTGTCTGTTCACAGCTGATCAGAGAGATGTAAAGTTTTGAGATCTCATTGACCACATTATGCAAAGCCAGTTGTAATCAAATGGAAGCTACTAGAATATCCATCAGTCAGCCTCATCCCAGCTCTTTTGTAATGTCTGCCAACTGCTACAAGTTGTAGCTTCTTGAATACGAGATCAATTTTGTGTAAATTATGTGTATTAAACAGCTTTGGAGTATGGGCCCTTTCACTATCTGCTGCTGAACACAAGTTGTCTCTTTTGGCAATTTTGACCTTTTTATGGACTTTTGAATACACAGGTCCCATTCATTATAATCTAGATAATCTATTTCAGGGTCATATTGTTGCATGCACACTGTGGCAGCTGGATGCAGCTTCCTCCCCACTCGCAGAGAAATTGGAACATGAGCAGGCAACAGATGACACACTCACACCCAGAGGTAATTGTAATGAGCGTGATACAATACACACACTGCGCTGAGTAATTGTAGCCTACTGCTGGAGTCTAAACAATACTTCGACAGAGGGCTTAATCAAGGGAAACAAAGAGACAGCAGTCAGATGGATTGAAAGGACAGAAATAGAAAACAAACTGGAACCATGGGGATTGACAGGAGAAAAGAAAAGATTTCATTTCAAGTGTGTGAAAGAGAGAATCTTTTGGGGTGATTTACATGCAAATCAGATGTTAAATTTTTAACATGCAGCACGAATCCTGCATGGGAAAGTCCTGTTCGATGTGGTTTCTCTGTTCGCATGCGCAGCCTTGAGCAGATAAGATCTTTTCCACAAACTAAGTTCAAAATCAAATGTCTACTTTATGTCTGTAAATTCACCTTAAGTCTCACATTGTTTTGAGTTTGTATAGTCTTCCACCCACTAGAGACATCAGACAGCTTCTGAGACCTCTGCAAACCGCTCACAGGTATTTTGAGGTATTGACATAAACACAGAACTGTTGAAAAGTAGAAGAAGGAGCAGTGAAGGCAGCACACCCACACCACAGAAAGCTGAATGCTTGATAAGTGGCAAACTAAAGATGCTGTTTTCCCAACAAAAACACTCCCAGAGAGAGTAAAGGCAGTGAAAGAGCAACACAACACATCTGCTGTGTAGGTGGCTGAATGATGTCCCAGAATGCAGTCTGGCTAACCTTTGACCTCCCTGTGGAGTATTGCTCGAAGTGGCTCATCCACGGTTCCATTTCTTGGATCCGCCCCGACAAAGACAGACACACAAATGCAGCAGCTGGCTGTTATGTGCAGAGGGAATATGGTGATGGAAAAGCGTGTGTATGTGTGTCGCTGGTGTAAAAGTTGCTGCGTCCTTCCGCTGCACATTAATTATACATGTGGCATGTGGGTGTCTGATTGAAATGAATATTTTACTCCTTTTAATCACTGCCATTGCCAGAGTGATGGAGCATCTGGATGTGTTACCTGGGTAATTAAAGACGCTGTCTCAAACATGCACACATTCAAGTCTCAGAGGTTGTGTCTGCAGTATGAGACAGAAGCACCCCAGAGGCTTACTAATGAGTCAGAATTAGATTTGGAATGTTTTACAGCAATGAGGCTCATAGAAAAGTAAAGACCGCTTTTTAAAATATTTTGTTATTGTCAACATGAGCCATTAAAAAAAGTGCTAGACATTGTATAAATGTAATAAAAACAGAATGTGGCAGTTTTTAAATCACCTAAAACCTAAATTTGTTATTTGAAAATAGTGCTTTTTTGTAATTTGTACGCTGCATATTTTCTGTGGACCCATTTATAGCTCAGGCTCTTAATGCAGAGCAATGCTGTTGTGTTATATGCAGAATGCGGATTGCTGAAAAAAAGCAAGGTCTTCCCTAAAGAAGACATTGGTGAGCTAGCAGCACCGTTTAGGCTGAAGCTGCACTGTCTAGCCTCTTGATGTCACAGACTTCACAGATCCTGACTTTTTAAAACTCGATCTTTTTCTTAATTTGTTGCATTTTTATGCTAAAAACCATAATTCTTAATGTGTTCCCTGCAGTCTTTCACAGAGTGTTGAAAACCTTGCTATCTTTATTCATAGAAGGCTCCTTTTATACTCCAAAGACTCGTCTTGTTGCTGACTTGTTGCCAATTGACCTAATTGGTTGTGGGATGTTGATTTTCAAATGATTCTATTTTCTTTTTACTTTGTTTACCTAGTGTCCCAGGAGTTTTGGAAATGGGTTTGAATAGCCCAAGGCTTTTCCAACTCTCTTTTGGGCCGTGTGGCATGCAGAGTGTTGGGCTGAATGTAATCTTAGCAAAAAGAGTAGCTATTTTAAACTCCTCATATGCTTTCTGTAGTTATGCAATCTGAGCATATTACAGGAGAAGCCACAAGTATGAACTATATAAACTATTTGTGTATTTACTATACAGCTCTAAATATCAGCGAGAGTTAATCAGTTCATCTTTCACTTTTGGATGACATGATTATGGTGCTATTAGGATTTTTTGTGTTTCGTTCCCAGTTTAAAATTGTCACTTTATGTGCCTTTCTCTCTTCTCTGAATATGTCTGCCACCAACATTTTATTTTTAGCAAATAGGGCAAAACCATGTTGCTTAGAAAGGCAAGAGTTGTTCTTTCTCAGCCTGGAGTTGTTTAAGTAGGTTGATGATAGTCTCTTTTCTCCCACATACAAATTTTGTCTAGTGCAGCTTCATTATGAGTTGCACTACTGTGCAAAAGTCACCTCTCATTTCTTTATACTTTGCTTTGAAAGTGGGAAATAGGTAGAGTGATTTATTGAAACATCTGCAAACATAAATGTAAACAGAAAGTAGCAAAAATTTAGTGCGGACAATATTTGGTATGATCATTATAATTCATCAACAAAGCCTGAACTCTCTTAGGCAAGATTTCTTGTAATTTTTTTAAGTAGTCTTCAGCAATAGTTCTCCAGGCTTCTTAAAGGGCATTCAAAGCTCATCTTTGGCTGTTTTCTGCTTTAATAATGTCGAGATCGTTGGGTTTGTGGAGGCCAGTCAATGACTGATAATAGTCCATTGTGTTTTTTTCCATCCAGGTATACTTTTCCTGGATTGCCAATGAGTTTGGGATCATTGTCATGTTGAAAAGCTGTCATGCTGTTGCCACTTGGACACTTTCCATACGGTGTTATATCCTGAATCTGACAGTACTATTCTACATTCATAATTCCATCAGTTTTGACAAAGTCCCCTAAGATGCAAACCATGGCAGAGCCTCTTCTCTATTTTATTACTTAGATACTCTCTGGACCGTCTCCATACATACTGATGATTTTAAGTTAACATTTCAAATTGGGATTCCTCACTCCCTCAGAACTGATTTTCTGTCCAGTTCTTGTCCTTGTGTAATTTTGCAAACCAGCCTTTTCTCCCTGTTGGCTTTCGTTGAAAATCCTTTCTTGGCTTCTTGGCAGCCATCCTTCCACTACAACCATTTCTGATGAGCTTTTGGTGAAGAGTAAAAAGTATGAACTGAATGACCAGATGCATCTCTCAGGTCCCATGCCAAGTCTTTGTTGGATTTCTTATTCTAAGAACATGACTTTCAGATACTATTTGTTTGCTGCAGATTTTTTAAGGCCTACTACTTCTTTCTTTATGACCTATATTTGTCT